CTATATGATGAAAGCCCAAAAACAAAGGTACAACGTCGCCCAAGCCTGCAGAACGCCCAGATGTTGAGCGAATGAAACATCCTATAATCGCCCAGAGCGGAAGATCAATTGTCGCCCAAAAATGCTGAGTCGCTCAGAGTCCCATCGATGATTAAATCTTGTTGTTATCCAAAGTCACGATTTAAGGCGGTTTGAAGCACATCACAATTACGCCCCACGATTTGAGAGAGTTGGTGACAAGCAGTTATGAAGAGGACGTGGTGATAGGAGTTACACACGGTAGTTATTGACCAACCGACCATTATGAAAGAAATGGGTAGTTATAAGCAGTTTCTAAGCGATTAAAAACTGCCTAAACCGTATAAAAGAAAGAAGAAGGCAACGAAGATAGCCCCGACAAAATTCACTCTCAAACAGAGAATATGTAATTTACTTTTTTTTAGATTAACTTTAATTATTTCAATTCTCTCGTACTTGTGTGCTTGCGCCCGTTGGAGGTATCTTGTTCGTGTCCAAACTGTAATCTTCATATTCAATAAACACCCATTTTTGGGATTTTGCTCCAAGAGATTTGTCCCTTACACAATCGTCTGATCCCTTTTTAATTGTTAGCGAGTAAATGCGCGAAACAGAAGAGATGGTAGGGGATAGTTGCGTAGCACGAGTGACGGCGGGAATTGTCGTCTATGGCCGTATTGAAGGCATTGTCAATAATTTTTTTCTAATTTCTTTCTCTGACTTACTGGAAATATGTGTGTTTTAGATTTCATTTTGTTTATTAATGCTCTCCCAATAATGGATTAGGGCTTTACCATAACATTTCCTTCCTACTACCCAATTCAATAACGAAGGCCTCAATTTTTTTTTTTTTTTAAAAAAGAAAAACCTTATCTAAAGAGATCAAAAAGTCATTTATGGTACAAGATTGAAGGAATGAAATCTTGACGGTTTAGAATTACATTGCCATATTATCACAATAATTTTTGTCACTCTCTTCGATCACCCATAGCTCCACCACTAACTTGAAAAACTACAAAATTCATTTCTTGCTTTTACTCCTCCCAATCACAGGAGTAATAGCATTTTTATACTGACATTTGATGGAAGGAAACCATTTTTTTTTTGTTGCGCGATGGACACTTGAACGGTCAAGAGACCTCTTGAACCAAATTTTGATATTGTGGAATTGCCAATATCAATATGGCAAGTGCTACTAGAGATACATGTTAAACTTTATTAGAGGTTAGGAAAGAAGTGAGCGAGCGGGAATTTGTGCTTTTAAAGCGCTAAAACAAAGAAACAGTTGTATAAGCTCACAATAAGAGCAAGTTTGATAGGGTTTAAAATTCAATTAAAATTGAAAATATAGCCTTTATTGGGTCCCACTCGTCTAATAAAAGTCAACAATAACGACTAATTTTTC